GCAGTGACAGTATCCTTGACCTTGTCAGTAACAGTAGTGGTATCAACAACTGTCTCGGTCTTCTTATCACCAGCAATGACTTCAACAGTGACAGAGTCAGTATCTTTAACGATAGTACCAATGGTGGTGATAGTATCCTTATCATTAACGATTGTTTCGGTAACGGCTCCGGAGACAACACCTGAAGAAACAATCTTGGACTTGTCTTCAGCGGTATCAACGGCAATGACTCCGCTTTCAACCTTTGTAATTTCGCCTTCAGTTGTCTTAGCAGTTTCTGTAGCAATTACCTCTACTTCAGTGACGTCGGATGTTTTTTCAATCTCTCCAGTGACAGTGCCTAAGACTTTACCAGCAATAACTGCAGTGTCGACCTTTGTCTTATCGGTATCGATTGTAGTAGTGAACCCTGGAGCCTTTTCGACTTCCTTGACAACTTCAGTCTCGCTCTTGACGATTTCAACGTCAGTAGCCTTGTGACTGGTCTCAGAAATGCCTGCAATGATGCCAGTAGCTACGCCAGCGGCCACGCCAATGCCAGCACCAACAGCAATATCTTTGACGATAGAGTCCTTCTTTTCTGTCTTGACAGGAGCCTTTTCTTGCTCTTCTTGGCGGATCACTTCGGTTGTAACAGTTGAACGGTCAGCTTCAGCAGCCTTTAAAATCTTGGACTCGGTCACATCAGTTGCTGTAGGCTGGGCGTCTTTGTGAATGACTTCAACGGTGGTAGTAACAATTTCTTCTTCAGAAACAGTTTCAGCAGTAGTTGTCTTGGATGAAACCTTTTCTACTACATAGTCGATATTCTTCAAGACGTCCTTCTGTTGATCTTCACCAAAGGTAAGATGACAAATCTTGAGAGTGGTTTCTTTGTCAGCAGTAGAGATTTCTGTCTTGAACTGATCGATGTTTGTCATCAGAAAAGTCTTGACAGTGATCAAATAAGTAATCAAGCGGCGACGCTCAATCCAAGTCAAGTAGCTGAGTCTTCCAGAAAGCATGGAAATCAGGGAGATAGTTTCATCAATCTTGGATACAGCCTCTAATTTAGCGGCATCAACGACTGTAACAGTATCTTCAACAGATTGATCAACGCTCCAGGTGACGTCCTTCAAGAAGGTAGAGAACCAGCTTGTAAGATAAGCCTTGGTCTCAGCAACGGCAGTAACAACATCCATCTTGGTACTCTCAACTTCCTTTTCATCGACTGTCACATCTTGTTCTTCAACTTCGGTGACAGTTTCGTATTCTTCAACTGAGTTCTTGCATGCTTGAATCTTGGTAGTCAATGAATCTTCAAAGGTTTGAGTAATCTTTCTCCAGCTGTCTTCAGTGTAAGAGTTGACTTGTTGAATATCAACGTTCGAGACAAAACGGTCTAATTCGTTCTTGGATGATTCAACAACAGTAGAAATTGATTGTTCCAGTTGCTTCTTGTAGTCGCCGCTTACATAAGATGACTTGGAAACAGTATCTTTAGCAGAAGTTTCCAACTTGGTGATCTCAGTGCTGAGCTCTTGCTTGGATGATTCGATCAGCTTTTGAATCTCTTCAGGCTTGGCCCCCTTCTGGGATGCTTCATCAATGCGACGGTAAAGGATGCGGACCCAGCGACGGATAACGATGTGGATAGTTTCAATAGTAATAACCACACGATCAACAGTCTCAGTCTCGGATTGTTGTTCAACAACTTCAATATCTGTTATTTTCTCAACAGTTGTTTCCTTCTTTGAGTCCAAGATGATGTCCAACTTCTTTTCAATGGTATCACATGACTGAGAAACAACAGAAACGAGGTCGAATTCCTTGGTAGAAACTACGTCTTCTTCCTTCAAACCATTGAGATAAGTAATGGTTTTAGTAAATACTTCTTTTTCAAGTGTATCTTGTGTTTCATTAACAAATTCTTCAATTGCACGCAATTCTGATCCGGAGACAGAAGTACGATAGATAGTAAGGTATTGAATAAAGCGGTTGTGAAGCAATTGACGGTATTCATCCAAAACCTGCATGTATTCCTTTTGAGTACGACAAGTAGAGATACGACGAATGAAGATGATTCTCCACCATCTAATGATAACACGGGTTTCACAGTAAGTGTCAACAGAAGTCTTGGTAGATCTACGAGTAAGAGCCAAGCTGGACTTGTTGACGGTAGCCACTTCTTCAACACTTTCGATAACAGCGCCTTGTTCGATAGCCTTGGTGATATCAAGTGTATCAGACGTTTCAATGGGTTTAGGGGTAGTCATAGTAGTAGATTCGGTATTAGCTGTAACTGTTCTCTTGCCAAAGACGGGGGTTGAGAACTTCCATTGGATAGAATTGACCTTGCTGGACGTCTTGGAAGAGCCAAGAACGATTGAGCTGCCTTCCTTGATCTCTTCAGCGCCAAGGATATAGTAATCATGGCTATCAAGTTCAATGTGACCTTCAGTGGTCAAGATCCACTTCTGAGTACTGATAGCAGATTCACGTGAAATGATGACCTTTGATAAAACATCAACAGTGCCTGAAAAATAAAGTTAGTATTTCTTATACAAGATATCAAGTTCACTTGGATTTACCTTCAACATCGATAACGAACTTGTTACCATAGTTGATCAAGTGACCATCGTTGAAGGTCCACAGTTGTGATTTAAAGGCCCTGAAGTCTAACTTCTTCAATATAAGTGGAGACTTTGATTCATCGCTGGTAACGGTCAAAACCAAGTCTTCAGCGCCGCTGACCTTGACAAAGAACCAAGTATTGACAGGGAACAAAGCTCTACGAGTAGAGGTGGTAGTGGTCAAAAGAGCCCAATCAGCCTTCTGCTTACGGATCCAAGTGTAAGCAGTGCTATAAGTATAGACCAGATTCTTTTGATATTCAGCATCAGAAACAACAGGAATATGGAATTCCAAGCCTTGAGTTTCCTTGACAGAGGAATCAGACGTAACATCCAACTTGTAAATACCATTTACAATAATGAAGCGGATATAGTAAATAGTTTTAGAGATTCGAATGGAGAGCAATCCATTTGAAGAAATATAGAACTTTTGACTGAGAGTGGAGTGAGAGTTGGATAAGATCCATCGACGGGCTACAGAATTAGAATTAATAAATGATATCATAGCACAATATATATATGTGTATCAAATAATTACATGTACTCAAGATCAAGCGAAGCATATACTTGTAGTTGATCAAGTAACCGTCAACATAAGTCCACAAAAATCTTTTGTAATCACTCTTTTCGGTAATTTCATAAAGACCGACTTCACTCTGAGCAGTTTCACCAGAAGCAAGGAAGTGGTTCATAGAGCCAAAACGGATAAAGAACCATCCTTCAGTACCTGGCCATTGGTTTTCAGCAGTAACCTTGTGGAGATAGGTTTCTTTAATCCACTTGTAGCAAACGACAGCTGAAGCAGAGCTTGTGACAGATTCAATCTTGCCTGATTCAACAATCTTGACACCAGATTCGCCTTGCTTAACAGGAATCAAAGAAGGAATCAAAACTTCCCAATGTTGTTCTGGGCGAGCTTGTTTCTTAATGAGAGGCTTAGCTTCTTGACAGTAGATATCAATTTGAACATGCTTGTCAGAGCGCTTAAGTTCCTTAAGAGATAGGACGATAGAGCGCTTAGACTTCAAGTGAATTAAACCTTCATGACTATATTCCCAAGTTTGATCATCGTATCCTTCGTCAGGACTGTTTCTAGTAGATAAGTGAAGACGTTCACCAGCTGCAAGCAATGTAGCAGTGGAAGCATCTAAAACCAAATGGCGACCCTTGAGGTTAATCAAGAACCCATTATCATACGACCAGAGCTGGCTAGCAAAGTCGGTAGTCTTCATACGAGTCATTACAACATAAACACCATCATGAGCATCTTCAACAAGATCCAAAACGAAGCCATGCAATGAGCTCTTGATGAAGAAGTAGCCATTAGGGAAGTTACCATGATGGTTCTTGTAACGGACTACCTTTTCAAAACCAGTAGGGACATAGTTGTCTTCTAATTGGAAAGAATCCTTGCGAGTCAAACGCTCAGATCTGTTAGACTTGCCTGAAGGAGAATTAGATCTAGAACCATGCCTTGATCCAGGTCTGGAGTTAGGCTTAGAGCTAGATTGAAGAGCTTGGGTAACAGTCTTTTCAACCTTGACAACAGTAGCATCATCAACCTTTTCAGTAGTAGTGGTGGTTACAGTAGTTGATTCCTTTGAAGGAACAGTTTCTGACTTGATAGCTTCAGTAACAGCAGCTGCAGCACCAGCGACAACACCAGCACCAACAATGGCGACACCTGCGGTGGTAGAAGTCTTTGAAGAAGAGGAAGGTGTTTGAATGGGGGTTTGAATTTCATATTCACTTTCGTCAGCGTGTTCTTCGGTTTCCTCAACTTCCTCCTCTTCCTCTTCTTCTTCCTCTTCTTCATCATGGAGTTCTTCATCTTGTTCTTGAACAACAGCAGCTTGTTCATCACAACGTTCGATTTCCAAAGCTTCACCTGATTCGGTAGCAATAGTGCGTGTACCAAAGACAGGTTTAGAGAAAGACCAACGTAACCATTCATCTGATTTGAGAGTAGTGACCTGCTTGCTATCAGTTTCTGAGCGAACAAGACGAACCTTGCGAAGACCGACAACAGCACCTTCAACAGAAGCATCTTCAGATTTGGCGACACCAATAGTCAATCGTTCATTTGATCTCAAGTGAATTTCACCATTTACACCGAGATCCCAGTACTGGCCTTCGTTGGAAGATTTTTCTTTCAAGTAGATCTGAGATTGAGCGCCTTCAATAGATACATCTTCGGATAACTGAGCATCAAGGACCAAACCGGTTTGCTCATTTACCAAATATCCATCTTGGTATGACCAGAGTTGCCACTTGTAAGACTTGAAGTTGAGAGTACGAATAACGATTCTGTACTTGTAGGACAAAGATTCGTCGTACTCAACAGTAAGAGCAAGTTTCTTGTCGCCGTGAGACATACGAATAAAGAACTTCTCGGTAGGGAACACGGCCCATCGTCGAGTGACCACACGTTTGGTGATACGTTCATAACGTTCGTCCTTTGAGACGTCAATGGAGGTAGTATCGCCCACCTTTTCCAAGACAAGACTGTGTCTGTGAGCTTGTTGAGAAGCATAAGTTGTATACTTGGTGCTCTTGAAGAGGGGATAGGCAAATGTCCATTGCTGATAAGCGAGACTTGAGTTTCCACGCTTGACAAGCTTCAATGCAGAACCTTCCTTGGCATGGTCACCGACAGAGGCAAGGACAAGGTCGGGGTTGCTTTGTGTATGAATATGGCCTTCAACGGAAAGGCCCCAGACTTGGTTCTTACGGCTGGAACGCAAGAACTTGGAACTCCATTGAATGATGTTGGCATTATGAGTAAGTTTGCCACCAGCAACGTCAATAACGTAATCAGTTTCCATATTGACCAAACAGCCATCGTCACGGTATCTCCATAATTGACGGGTGAATCCCTTAGTATCCAGCTTGTGTAAGATCAGCTTGGCGCCCTTCTTCTTGTCAGAAACAGTGATGAAAAGGTTAGCATCGCACTTGGAACGAATAAACATCCATCCTTTGGGGAAGATACCAATCGTGCGTGTTACTAACTTACGCTCTCCGTCATCTATAAAAAATGTATGAGTGCTGCGGCCTATTGATATTGTGACACATCAACTTACGTTTACGTGTCACCCAGAGTGTCAAGACGATTCTCTGGAAGCTGACGAGGTAAGAGACTTCTCTATTTTCGGTTTCGGAGTAGCGAGTTTCATATCTACCATAGAGCAATTTCCAGGCATAGTATGTAGTAGAGATCAAAATAGTCCAGACACCATTGACCTGGACAAGGTTCAAACCATACTTTTGATCCTTTTTGGAAACAATAGATCCATTTGTCTTGAGAATCCAGTGCTGATACTCATCGCCTTCAGTCTCCTTGGCCAAAGAAAGTCTGGCACCTTCAACAAGTTTGTCTATAAATAAATATAAGTAACCACGCGTCAATAAGTCTTTTTTGAAAAGTTTACCTTGGATACGCAACACTAATCTTGAAATTACGTGTACAAGATATCCATTTCTATAAGTCCACTTGAAAATGTCTGCATTCTCGATTTCAAGTTTCTTCATGATAACCAAGGCACCAGGCTCATGCTTTTCAGGGACCAAAGCATAACCATCAGAACCTCGGATGAAGAATTCACCTTGAGGCCATTCAGCGATGGGATGATCAACAGTTGTTGTCTTGACAGTGGTTGTGGTGGTAATTGTCTTGCGATATTCACGAAGTATATGAATGGACCATTGAATAAGAATTTGGTAGCCGGAACGGTATCCGAACTTGGGAATGAGGAATCCCCAGCGGAAGTCCTGGGTTTGCTTGTGTGTGGTGATAATAAGTCTGTACTTGTTGTTTTCAATCAATTCGGCACCAAGGACAAACTTTTGCTCATTAGATCCGTGCAATAAATATCCTTCCATAGTCATAATCCATTCTCTTTCAGATGCCTTGCTGTTCTGAATGAGCTCGGAACCAGCGGAGAATGCTACACATAAAATTTTAATTCGCTAATATTAGAAAAGAGTAATAAAAAAAGGACTTACAGTTGACATCAATCATGAGATCAGTAGCATAATTTATCAATTGACCATTGGAGTAGGACCAGAGTTGAGATTGCCAGTTTTCACGATCAAGTAAAGTGAGTTCAATAGACTTTTCAGTAGCAGTCAATACATAAGGAGATTCGGTAGTTGAGCCCTTCACATGGGATCGAATGAAGAACCAGCCAGAAGGATAAGCGGCAGTCTTGAAAGATTGTTTGACAGTGGTAGTAACTAGATTTCATATTAATCATTACGTTCCCTTTTTTTACTCTTTCACGCGTAATTACCTTGCTTCTTTTTGAATACAGGCAAAACAAAGTTCCAGCACTGCCCTTTGTTATCACAAGTCTTTCTTTCAGCCAAATACAAACTAGATCTAACGGTTTCATCTTCCTTGACAGTCAAGGCCAAGCCCTTGTTAGATTCAGGATGAATGGAACCTTCGACGGTTAAACCCCACTTTTGATTTTCAGCATCTTCAGTTTTCTTAGTGTATTGGCAAATGGTTGCACCCGATGCAATGGAACCTATACACAATGTAAATATTACACCACATACGAATATTTATAAATTTACCTCCACGGATATCAAGGACCATTTCAGAAGCCTTGTTGACAAGGAATCCATTATCGAACTTCCAAAGCTGACGGGCGTAGTTGGATGTATCTAATTTGGTAGCTTCTACTTCAGCAGCAATAACACCAGTTTCAAGCACGGTCAAAACGAGACCGTGAGCCTGACTCTTGACAAAGAACCAACCCTCAGGGAAGACACCCTTCTGTTCAACTTTGACTGCCTCACTCTTTTTGAAGACAGGTAATACCACGGTGAATTTCTGATTTTGATGTCCACCGTTCTTCTTTTGAAGATGAAGGTGAGCGCCTTCACGGTTACCAAACCAACTTTCCTTGAATCCAATAACAAAGCTGGGATCGCTCTTGAGCGTGATTTCACCTTCGGCGGAGAGGGTCCAGGCCTGAGTCTTGTCTTGAGCGGGGGATGAAGTAACTTGACAAATATCAGAGCCGTCCTTGATTGCGTTATTTTCAATACCGAGCACGAGTTTAGTCATCTTGTTAACAATACGGCAAGTGGTAGGTTCATAGGTCCATAACTGACTTTCGTATGCCTTCTTGCGGAGAGATTCAATAGTGAGTTGACTACCAGCCTTAGTAGAGGTAGCTGTTTCTGTACTGACATAAAAACCAGATGCATCTGACTTCAAGAAGAAAGGAGTATCAGGGAATGATCCAGTAGGAACACGGTTAGCTTCATCTTGATCAATACTAGTTACAGATCCTGTAGACGAACGAACCGAGCGAGCATCTAAAAAGGGGGGAGAGTTAATATGGTAAAGCCAGCAATTTCCTAAAGCTGCAACTTACCATCTTCTTTAATTTGTGCCACAGCAGATAATTTAGAATTGGAGGTGTTGCTAAAAGTACTAATACTACGCTTGGCAGGTTCAGTCTTTTCCTTAATCACGGGGAGAACGAAATCCCAGCGTTGTTCTTTTTTGTCGAGGTGTCGCTTGTCGATCAACTGAAGGTGTACGTGGAGGCCTTCACGACGAGCAAAGAAAGATTCCTTGATACCAAGGACGAGATTAGACTTGTTGATGAGGTAAATGTGACCATGAGGAGATAGACCAAACTTTTGATAGTTATTTTCTTCTTTCACGTCTTTCGATAGAATTTGTTGGACAATATCGACACCAGCCTTTGCGTTACCTAAGAGAAGCAACAATGTGAGACACTAATCATGAAAATAAAATTGTAATCCCGCAAACTCGGATTTTCCCCCGTTTGGCAGGACTATCGAAGCTAAATAGACTTACCCTTTGCAACGTCCATGACTTGGCCTGATTTTTTATTCACAAGATAGCCGCTAGGGTCATAGCGCCAAAGCTGAGCGCTGTAGTCTTTTGTACGAAGAGAAGACAGAACGACGGGACTGCCAACTTCTTGAGATTCATTATCAACCATTAAAACATAACCGTTGCTGTGATTCTTGATGAAGAACCAACCATCAGGAAACTTTTCACTTTTATCAAACATGTTTGCTTAAAACTTTTCTTCTTTAAAAATACACACAAGAATGAAAAGTAGCTATACTTATGAAGCAAAATAAAGTAAAAAAGAAGAAAAAGAGCAAAATAAGCTCGCTAAAGTACCCAAACTCTTTTATTAAAGTATGAAAGCAGTGTAACAGCTTGGTGTTTTAAGGTACGACTGTCTATAGATGTCTGTATGTCAAGTGCTTTAAATTTTCGTAGCACAATGCCTCTGTATTACTCTCTAATGCCTTTTTTTGGTTTTTACTCTTTTGAAGCATGCAGTCATTTAGGTTAGAAAAAGGTAAAGACTTTTCTACATGTCACTTTTTAGAGTCACTTTTCAAGTTTATTTTTTTCTCTTTGCTATCAAAGTATACTGGCGCGTGTTGCTTAGCTACCTTCAAGAATATTGCATGATATTCTTGTAAGAAAGTTGTTCGCAACAAGCTTATGTACTACTCTATATTTCCTTTAATGTGACAACGGCCGTATACTTCCTTAAAGTGCCCAGGCATCTTAGACACCAAGAGTAAACTTGGGGCATAAGCCTTTTCTACAATTTGCTGATTTGAATATCAAGGTATGTTTCTATAGCAACAATAAAAAACAGCAATGCTTGAGTATTCTAAAGCGTTTTATCGTTTTGGTTTGTATGACAAGAAAAAAAAAAGAGAAACTAAATAGAGTCATGAGTTATAGGGTTAAACGATATTGCTTAATATCGCTGTAACAGTTGATCTCCTAAAATCTTTTTGTATTTCAGTAAACATTTCTGCATCCCGTTTCAACATCCTATTTTTTTACCTTCTTCTTACCTTTTACCCGAGAATGCTTGGATGTTCTCTTATCCTATAAAACTATTTAGCTCACAGGAACAAACAAAGGAAAGAAAGAAAAAAGCACCAAGCCTAGGTTTGCCGAAACAAAACAGTGCTGTCATGTGAAAGAAGTAAAAATGGTTTCATGTCCTTTTACGTGATCTTTAGGGAGTCTTATGTGCGAGTTTCTATTTTCTACGAAGTTTTGCGGGCCGATGTTTTGATTATTCTTAATCCTAATGACCGAGAAAAACTATAGCCCTTTTGAAGCTGCTATTTAATATACCCCTAAATTTAAATAGAAAATGCTATATAGAACAAGATAACAGCTAACCAAGAAGAAAAGAAAAATCAGTTCATAACACCAAAAGACCCCACCACCAAGGCTACAGTACCTTTTTTTTCCGTTTTGAAAGCATAAACGCGTCATTGGATAGCCAAGAATAAGCTTAATCTTAAATTTATCGGGATATTTCCGAGATTAGTGCGTCTTTTTTTCTAGAACGTAACGGTAATGTCTACAGGTAGCTACCAAGCAGCAACCCTTGAGGCTGGAACTTTACAATTCAGATGGTATTATCTGATTGGCTGGCTTATTTTTGCATAAACTATTGACTTAAAATGGTTAGAAGCAAAATAGCTCTGTCGTTGGCACCCTTAAATTAAATGCCTCCAAAGCAAAATATCAATGATAAGAGAGTACGATTACTTGTTTTATTCAAAAAAAAAAAAAGATATTTTGTTAAACAAGAAAAAAGCTAAATCTAGAGAAATCTTTTGCAGTATTTTCAGTTGTTAAAGTAACAGATCATGATCTAAAACATAAGGTGCACCTCCTTTTTTTTTTCATTGCCCCTGTCTATACATTTTTCATCTTTTGCTTGAATGAACTATATATTGAATCAAAATATATGTGCCTGAACGTCGAGTAGAAATTAAGCAGATAGATATCAGTTACTCAAAATGGAAATAATTACCTGAATTGTGAACCTTGGAAACACCGATAACACAAAACTTATTCATGATTCTTAATCTCGAGATTTCACTTTTCTTTTGTCATCATGCTTCCTTCTATTCTTTATAAGCTTTTGATTCTCTCTATTACAGTCGTAGTTGTATGTGCATCAAAATCAGAATCAGAATTGGAGCAGCCAACGAAGCTTCTTGGAGGTAAATTAAAAAAAAAAAAAGTGCTTAAGCACAAACTTACACTGTATAAAAAAGGTACATTGAAGAAACCAGAGAAATGTAAAGCCAAGTCTGCAACAAATTCTAACGTTAAGATCCATTACCGTGCCCGTGCCTGGGGTCAAAAAGAGTTCTTTGAAAATACTTATCTAAGACATAAACCCATTGATGTACAACTTGGTGAGTAATTTGCACACATTTATCAGGTTGATTGTGACTTATTGTAATGTAGGAAAAAACAAAATAATCAAAGGTAAGCAAAGTAAAGGCTGTCATTTATTGCGAAATTAAGGGATAGACAAAAAGGTATTGAGGATGGTGTGCATGGTATGTGCGCTGGTGAAATACGTAGACTTTTGATCCCAGCCTATCTCGGTAAGTTTATCGGACAATACAGTTTCTTGAGAAACGTAGCCAACACTGATTATATACTCTAGCTTATGGAGAATTTGGTATTCCTAATCTAGTACCTCGTAAGTGTTGTCTTTTTTTTTTTTTCTCTACAAATGTTTTCATTGAATTGTTTTTTTGATAGCCAATACTGCCATTGTTGCTGACGTAGAGATGATATATGTTGATTCCCCATTTAGGTAAGCATCTATATGTTCTATTTTGTATGTCAGATGCTCAATCTTGATTATATTAGCAATCCTTGGTTCTGGATCAGCGGTGCTCTTTTAATCATTGCTTTCTTCTTTTATAGACAAAATATCAAGCAAAGTGAACGAAGTAGTCCTGGCGCTATGCTTCAAACACAGTTGGCACAACAACAGCAAGAGCAAGAAAAGAAGGAACAGTAAATTATATTGTGAAAGCCTAAGCTAGCCTTACTTTCATTTCTTAATTAAATATTACAATCAATCGTTTTGACTTGTTTACTACGAGTGCGTTTAGATAATTATTGAGATAGAGGGATATTGAGATCATTGCCTGGAAAAGCTGTTGCACCTTGAGTATGTCAAGTCTATCTTGACAAACTTGCACAATCTTACTTTTCTTTAAGGATTCAATATCAATGCTTGGCGATTATTACTTTGATCTCTGATGTTCAATGCCTTCATTGTCTTTTACTTTTCTGAATCTGGTAGTCGATTACCTATTTCAGTATGCTCAAGTGTCATCACGTGTCTTTTTGTGACTATAAATAAATGCTGTTCTTAAAAGGAACATGGTGTAAAAACTTGGGTATATGATGAGTTACTACACCATAGTATATAAATACAAGATCTGACTAGTTCTCATTGAATGAATTAATAAGAGCAATAGGCGTAGTGTTAAAGCGTGACATGATATCGTCTGAGAGTACTAAATAGCGCATGCGTATATGTGAATGAGTGAGTCTACAGATGATGATTAGCAAAGAAGAAGGCGCTTCAATTGTTCTTTTGTATCGTTCATGAATTACTATCTCTAGCTTTATTTTAATTATTACTATTCTTTCTGCTATTTTTCTGCTTTCACTTTACATAGAAAGAGAGACTGCTAAAAATAGATCACTGTACCCTTTTCTCATGGACAAGGGGTTAACAGGGGGAATTCAATTTGTCTGTGAATGTAATAAAAAGTTGGTATGAATCATAGCATTCATAGTGGTTATTATCAAATAAAGGGTCAAATGCCTCATTCTTTTACTTTACACAATCATGTAACAGGATACATGATCCCGTTACCGGGAAAACGCTAAAAAATTGCCTGATGACAGCTGTTTCCAAATACAGAAATATTCTTTATGAAAACATCCTTTGTCCGCTACACACCGCGGGTCAAGTACACTAGATATTTATATAAACTCCTTTTTTTTCTTCACGTTCTTCTCTTTCTCCCTCTCTCTTTTCCATTATCTCCCTCTTTCACATCATGACAACTAGCACATTAGAAGAATTGCCTGTAAATAAGACAATGCTTGGATCACCTGTTGTAGAAGGAAACATTGTACAGCTTAAAGAAGACAAAAAGAAGAAGAATAAGAAAAAGAACAATTCCGATCCTAAACCTATTCGTGAGGCACACAAAAACAGCATTCCTCTTGGTTCAAAAGACGATATGATTGACCTTACTTTTATATAGGCTGTTGGTACTATTGTGATTGACAGCGTCAATCAAAAGATATTGATGATTGAGAGCCGTAAGAACAAAGACGCCTTTGTTCTGCCTCGTGATGATTGCCATCCTCAAGAACATCCTGAAAAAGCCGCTATTCGTCTGTTACATGATAAAGCAGGTATAGATACCAACTATCTATCAAAGCGTGTGGGTTGCTTTTCAGAGTCAAATAAAAAGGGAAGAGTAGTTGCTCATCACTGGATGTATGAGGTTCACAATCCGAAATTACTAGACAATTGGCCTGAATCTAATAGAAAGCGAGTCTGGGTATGTCATTAGATAACGTTGTTCTTTTTTTTTTTGGCTTATTTCTTTTTATAATAGATGACTCATGAAGAAGCATTAAAGGCTAGTGAGAACAAGCGTATGGCTTATCTTGCTCTTCAAAAGATAAATTTTGATAACTTACAATAAATAGTCCTTTCTATTTTTATTCTAATTGTCTATATTCTTGTTATTCTCTTGTCCAAAGGTGGATGCTAAAAGTGCCTTTTGCATGTAGGGTTTAAAACGAAGCAACTGCATAGCTTCTTCAAAAGCACACTATAATAATGTCAATTTATCAAAGATAACAAATTCTTGTGTATCACTTACCCATTTTCTTTGTCTAAAGTCCTCCTCTGGCCAACGCTCGTAAATATGTTGGACCTCTAATTCATAAAACCACACATGGCTTTTTGGGTTTCCCATATAATCGTAATCTACAAAACTTCCCACAAATCCTTTCACAACACCTTTTACACCTCCTAATACAAATGAATAAGCAAACAATGCTACAGTTGTAACAGTCTACCTTCTTCATATGTCTCTCTTTTCGCTGCTTCTTCTCGAGTTTCGTCATTTTCCCAACCACCTTTTGGCTATATTTTTGCTTATCAAAAACATTGTTTCTCTTAAAACTTAAGCTTACCAAAACCCACACATTTTCATATTTACTGCTTGAAATAATCAATACTTTATTCGTTTTGGGATCTACAGCAATGCTACCCGAGATCTATAACTGCGTGTTCATGATTGTTACACCTTTACTGTTTTTATCTTACTTGTCGAATATCATTGTGATCATAGACTTGATTCTGTCTTCCAACACGGGGTTCAGTAGGATAATCGGGGTGGCTCATATAAAGAAGAAAAAAGAAAGAAAAAGACAAACACCTCCGAATTTTTTTTTTTTTTATTATAAAATGATGCAACTGAAAGTGTGTATAAAAAATGATGAAAAATCTAAATTATTTTTGGTGTACAGTTGGAGAGGAGTTTCTTTCTTTTATCGGCGATCTCGTGTACCAGCAGATAATTTACCACTGAACAAGTGTTTGGGCATCTTGGTTTGAATTGATCTATCTGATTCACCACGCTTACCCATCTTGTTATTTTGTTTCTGACTGTTCTTCTTTTGTTTATCTGCTTCCATCTTTTGTTTGACATTACGGAAACCTTGTTGGCTAAGAGCAAGGTTTTCCGATTCAGCACGTTCATCTGCCGTAGCCTCCTTAACAGCTTCATCAGGAAGAGCTTCTTCACGTGTACGCTTACGATGAGCAGCTGCTTCACGCACACGCTCTGTAGCATCTGCACTGTCGATACCCATCTGAGCCAATTTCTCATTCATTTCACTCACAGTACTAAACTTGGCTGCTGTTGGCTTGGGTAACACGGGTCTATTTCTACCATGAGCTGCACGATGAGCTTGTACTATCAACTTCTTCTTTTCACGAATAGCATCTGCAGCAGCCTTGTAAGCCTCTTCGTCATCGTCCAACATGTCATCATCTGACTGATAGAATCCTTCCTGTTCCAATCTTTCTTCTTCTCTCTCCAAGGCTTCCAATTTCTCCTCAATTTCAGGATCAATAAAGTCTGCCACATTGTGTCCGTCAAGGAATTCAGGAATAACGTCATACTTCCAGTCATCCTCCTTCAAGAGATATTTCTTCTTCAGATCAACATTATACACACCTGCACCACCATTTTCTACTTCAAGGTCCTTTTCGAGTTGACGACGGTTAGGGTCATTAGGATCATATTTGGCTCTTGATGTGACCTCAGCAGGAATATTAGGCAAGCGAGCAACATTGTCTCTTTGTTGAGGTATAGCCAAGTGAATCTTGTTAATCACATCATTCATCTTGTTACTCTTCATCTTCATTTCTACACGGGCTGCTAACAATTTATCACAAGAAATATTTCGCACGTTCATGACACCTTCTTCATTATAGCAAGACATGGTCAAGACCGTAGCGTTCTCTTCATTAGCAATATCTTCAATCCATTTTCTTTGTTCTTCAGGAAGATCTTCAGGCTTCATTTGGTCAATCTTGTTGATGACCAAGACAATAGGCTTATTGGCAAACAGAGGCTTGATATTATGGAACAGTTTGACTTGATCCTCTACACTGTAACCACATTGTTCTGACAGATCCATAAAGTACATGATACAGGATCTCAAGTGAGCCATGGCAGTAATAGATTGCATTTCAATTGTATTTCTTTCTTCCAAAGGGTGATCCAGAATACCAGGTGTATCAATGACTTGCCATCGCATGTACTTGTAATCCATGTGACCGACGAAAAGTGATTTTGTTGTAAAGGCATAGGGCTGTACATCTACATCGGCACGGGTAATTTTGTTGATAAAGGAAGATTTACCGACATTAGGGTAACCACAGATCAAGAGAGTACGAGTGTTGGGATCAATTGAAGGCAGACGAGACAAGTGCTGACGAACTTGTTCTAAATAGGCTAAACTGTCCTTTTGACGTTTCATGACAGTAGCCATTCTACCCAAGGCTGCCTTCTTCAATTGCTTACATCTGTAAAGTGAGTCACCAAATTTGAGTAAACGGACATAGTCCTTGGCGACTTGATCAATCAGATGACGGGCTGTGTTGATTTGACCCAAGGCAAGCTTATAATGATCTTTGTCGTAAAGGACGTTCATGAGGTCAGCATAAAAGGGATGAATATCCTATATAGATTATTAGTTTATATGTTTAAAAACATGTATGTATATATATTCATTACCTCAAGCTTGGGAAATTCTTCTAATATGTGCTTAAACTTTTCTTCAAAGTTCTCTTGAGTGAACTTGACTTTGCGCATATAAAACTGTCTGATACGACCAATGTTGTAGTTTTTATGAATAACAGTTGGTGTCTTTCTTTGAGTCTTTGATAAAATGATATCAATAAAGTCAGAAGCTGTAGGCACTGGCTCGATCTTTTTGAAATTATATAACGATGTCATCTTTATGTGTTCTGGTGCCTGCTTTGCAGAAAAAGAAGAGTGTGAAAAAGAAATTTTTTGAAAACTTTTTTTGACACTTTATAAGGTAAAAGCAGTCACCCAGGCCGATTGGAAGAGAAATTGGAATCCAGATTGAGGACGAATCAGATCAGTTTCTTCAAGACACTTACTTGTTATACTTTTTATAGGCTATTTTTTGAACATGATTCATAGTATAGTGTACTTATCAAAGATGTCAAACAAGTGCCACATAAAGTAAAATGATCTATTCTCTTTATTCTTTGTTGATCGTTTATTTTCTCTTTTTTACAATTATAGACTTTTGAATAAAAGGAACTCTTTCGCACTAAATATAGCTGCAGAATAACTAAGGATGAGGTTATACTAAAATTAATGACACACTTCACTGGTTCTCCTTTCTTGACTTTACTTTATGTAGATTGTAGCCCACATTAACAACGAAGTCAATATGTCTGCCTAGTTACTCTTTTACTTTTTCACTTTATTAACATAAAACATCTAGAAAGATGTATTGACTAACAAATGGTTGATGATAGGAGTCAAATAGGCTAAAGTCCTAATATATAGTAACCTTGATTAAGGCTTGAATAAGACATGAATCTTTGTCATGCCAAGTTGTTGCTCTGGCCAGTTCGAGGTGTAAAAGAATATCTTAAAACCTCTCTGGGCTCGAGGATAAAAATGCTTTGACTGAACAAGTGTTCAAACCGCTGCTATAAAGACCTAGATAGTCATTTAAGTAGTTTCTACTTAGGATTAGAAGGTAGTGATGGCTCTTTTTTATGATAGTACACCAACCATAGCTTTAGAAAAGAAACTTACTAATCTTTTCAAGAGTGGTCACTTACAGATAATACATGTAAACTATTTCGGTCCCAAAGACGTTGATATAGAAAAACAAATAAAACATCCTTTTGAAAAGGTCTTATTCGATGCTCTTCCGAAAAGAGACATGATGATGGATGAATCGATTGAATCTTACCCGATAAAAGTGTTTCTTAACGAATAATTGACCAACTTCAAGAACTTATGGTCTAACAAGTTACGTTATACCAGGTTGCTCAACCGTGTGGTTACTGTACTTTTAAGAGTACACTTGGCTCCTAAAAGTGAACGATTAAGACGAGAAAAGAAAGGTAAACAATCCACAGAAAGCCTCACTGGATCCTTCAAAATGTCTTATAATAGAAGAAAAAGGCTATTTAGAAATGAAAATATAAAGCATGAAAAACATCTTCAAAAGGTACAAATTGGCAGATTAAACGAGAACAAGTGGCTATCCAAAGTTCAAAAAAGTGATATGCACATTGCTAAATATAAAGAATTATTACAGAAGGAGGTAAGTTTGTTGTAGATACGCTTTTCATTATTTTCTCAGCAATTCAATTTCTATTTTATAGCGAACTACTGTCAATCCTAGAACTACATTACCAGCAATGTCAGATGGTGATGAAGCAGCTACTCTTGAAATTGCAGCTGTTGTACATCCTATAGCAGCTCAGGAAGTAATAGTGCTTGAAGACGAAGTAATTTGAAATTAACAAGGACGCTACTAGAAGAAGAATGAACCGTTTAAAAGCAATCATACGACAAGTAATTTTCAAGCAATTTGACCATAAGGTTAACGAAAGACATATGAGGAATGTCCTATCAGACATTATATATTTAAACTAACTCTTAAGTTTTTCGATGGATATAAATACAAATTATCATCAGTTTTGATTCGTTTCGAGCAATCTGCTGTGATTTCATTAGATAAGGTAGACAGCCTGTCATGACCAACCGAATTAATAAGACTATCGTCGTTCTCATTCTTTTTAATAAAAATAATAGACTTTGAAGCACTACAAAGATATGACGTTGGCTAAATGATGTTCTGTTTGTTGAAAATACTTACAGACGTTTTTGCATTTCACTTTCAATGTTGAAGCCTCATTTACGAGCTATTTGTTTATAGTTTCAATGGATACCATGAGGAGATCAGAAGCTGACTGTTCATTGCCAATAGAGCTTGTTCCTGATGTTAAGCTACTGCCCTTTGATCTTTCTGAAAGCGAGCGCTTGGCCCTACGAGAAGCAACGCGGATCGCTCTATCCAATGCTTTGTTCCTTCGTTCATGGCTCGTTTATTGAGCTGAGCCTCCACAAAAAGAGGAATCAAATCAGCCGCATTATTGAATTTTGGGAAACACTACATGCACCAGAAAATACAACAGAAGTCAGACTAATTCTATAGGCGCCACCTCTACCCATTACCTGTAATGTCGTCAACAAACCTTTTCAATGAGTAGCGTCAAGCTAAACATGACTTTATAAAGTCACCGACTTCATTTATTCACCAGACAAACAACTTAGCAGAATTCATCAGTAGGATTTACAGAGATGAAGATATTCAAAGCCCTAATTTGAATAGTCAAGTGTACTTTGGTGAAAGGGCAACCTTAACCAGCCGTAGCGATATTGTGGATGGCATCAATGAGATTGTTCTCGACAAAATGTCTGCTGAGAAGATTACGCTTCTGTCTACAAACTCAGCTGATGGACTGCATACTATCCCTGCAGAGTGCCTTCAGAGTCTTAACCTCTCCGATCTGCCTCCCTCACAGCTGGAACTGAAGGTTGGTGCACCAGTTATACTCCTTAGAAGCGTTGACCTAGCAAGAGGCCATTGTAGCGGAACAAGGCTAATCGTAATGCATATTAGTCAGTATATGTTTAGGGTTTGCCTGGCAAACAACCCTGGTGCTCCAATAGGGCTCATCCCACGATTTACTCTGTCGACCCTAGAAGGCAATATGCCATTTATGCTCACCAGGAAACAATTTCCTGTAAAACTATGCTTCGCTATAACAATCAATAAGTCCCAAGGTCAATCATTGAAGTATGTAGGAGTTAACTTGCGGCGTCCGCCGTTTATGCATGGTCAGCTATATGTCGCTCTTTCAAGGGTGACTTCTCTCTCTGGCGTATCAGTCCTTTTGCCAGAGAATACAGATAAAACCAACAATGTTGTTTATTCAGAGCTTTTGCTCAATTAATATATGCGTTATGCCCAACCCACTTATGCTCAATTGTACTTATGTTCAACTATACTTATGCCACTTTCTTTTTTTGTAACTATGTGACTATCATCCAATAAAATTACCCGATCTTCACTTCCTCTTTAAATGCATTAACCTTTCTACATCTCATTCAGCATTTGCCCTTACTCATCGCAAAGGACGAAGCTCTTAAGCCTGAGGCAGTACAGTAACGTGAAAAAACAAGCGTAGCGAGTTGGAAACGGCTAGTATTATAGAATGAAATAGGAATATTTAAACCGAAGCTCATAAAAGACAACCTTAACACCATTCGCAATCTGACTGGTTGAATAAAAGTATATTTGTGAGTAAAGTCTAAAGAAGAGGCAACACACATCCTTCAAGCTATATTTATAATAGAGATCATCTTCTGTCATTGTATTTACTGAGTTGTTTGATTCCACGCTAAAGCCTATACCAAATGTTACGATAGCATAAGTTTATTGGACCTGAGAGAAGGACGTGATTTTATTGATTAAATGAATTTTGATAAATGAACAACAATAATCTCTTTCACTTTTTGCTCTTCTTTTTGCTTCAAATGAAAAGATATTCTACATCATCCAACTCAGAGAGGCCTTCAAAAGGCGCAAAGCTAAATGAATGTAAAGTATTCAATCTTGTTCATTATCAGTCAATATTTAGCATTACTTTGGTATAGGTACAGTAGCAGCAACTCAAGAAGCGAATTATTCCAGCACAGTAGATCAAGAAGGCGCTTCTTCTTTCTCAAGTAAACCAGGGCTTTCGAAAAAAGCACAACAAAAGATTGATAAGCAAAATGCACTTTTAAAATTCAAAACAGAGCAAAAGGCTCTAAAGGAAGTCAAGTGCCCCTCATGTGGGTTAACAACACACGCGCAATCAATGAGTAACTTGTGCCCAAACAAGAAAGCAAAAGTACCTGTTTGCAGCCCTGATGAAAGGGTTGAAAACTTTGTCATCAAGACATCCTTACCTAATGTTTGTAACAATCAACAACCTGTTCAGCATATCAATGATCTAGCAGATTATACCACCAAAATTTTGTTTGTGGGATTCCTTTTTGCCAATTTCATCTTCATCAAACTGCTCGACTATGGCCAGGCTATTCCAATTATTGAACAAAGTTTATTCACAAATACATTTGCGGTAATGGCTGGAAATGGAAAGAGAGCACCAAACTATCTCAAAGAATACTTCACTCTTTTCTGTGAATTGACAACTGTAGACTGCGACTCTTTAAAAAGTATAAGCTATTCAAGTATTCTTTCCATCGCTGGTAAGCAATACGAAGTCCTGGTTAGAAACCACATTCACGAGACACACGAACGAAGATCGATAACGTACTTTCTGAATATGATGTCTGACAACAATTCAAGTAATTGTTGTAAAGAGCTCCCAGTAGCTTCCAGAAAAGCCTTGGCATGTTTCATTTACAAACAAAAACAAGGTTCAGAGCCATCTTGGCCGTCTCCTGTCCCATGCAGTAACTACTATAAAGAAATCACTGAAAGCATAGCAAGCATGTGGTCTAAATACCAACCAGATCAATGTGATTCCGATACGCTTTACTCAAAACCTCACCTGTTTTTCAAGTGGTTCTACTTTCTGTCGCAAGAAGTGCAAAAAAAAGTTTTTATTATGGAAAATGTACCCTCAAAAGTTGCTTCCAAAGTGTATGTGTATTGTAAATTCAGAGAGCTTCCATTCACTGGTGTTTTGAGCAAAAAGAATTTTAATTCTTTAAGAGAAGAACACTGAAGCCAATCAATTCCTACAAGACGTTTGCCCCAGGAAAAAAACTAGCCAAGCTTACTCCTCAACAAGTATCAGTAGTTCAAAATTTTATTGATACAGTTAAAACAAGAATATAAGATGTCACATTCACTCCTGCTAAATACACTGATAAAATAGGATGTCGCTTTTTTTCCATTGCGCCTATATATTTCGTTCAGATAAAATCAATCCAAATTGATGCTCAAGCTTTGTGGAGACTAGTGAAACAATGTGGCATACCAAATTACCCGAAAGGAAAGAAAACCGATTTTTACTATCATTTGTTCAATTTTACCAAATTGGGATTTCGTACTAGAGACAGTCTTACGAGTGGGAAGAAGTTTAGGTAAGCTATGTGTAAAATAATAATATAATACAGGAATATCTAACTGTCATTAATAGAAACGTTATAACG